TATCAAAATTTTGTCAATTGATAAAATGTTGATAATAATATGACAAGCATTTTATCAGTTGACACATTTTTGATACCTTTCACATGAATCGAGATAATTGAGCTCAAAGTTGACGGTTCGAGTGGGCTTCAAAAATCTCTAGCTTGTTTTTCAAAATTTTGGACCAATTTTTTCGGACATTTTCATTCAGAGATTTCAGGTTTTTCGATCATTTTTAACGAATTTTCGGACCATTTAAACTTTGATTTTTGGTCATTTTTAAAATGAAATTATGACTATTTTTGATGAAATTTTGATGTTTAATAATGAAATTCAAAGCATCTTTAGTTGAGATTTTGCACCATTTTTAGTGAACTTTCGGGTCAGTTTAGTGGTTTTTAAAACCCTTTTCTTATGATTTTCGGACCGTTTTCAGACAGGTTCACCCCCTTTTTAGTGAATTTTGGGATTATTTTTGTCAAATTTGGGCAATTTCGAGTGACATTCAGAAAATCAGATTTTTTTTAAATTTTCCAATGATTTTTAACCGATTCTCAACTTTGGAAATCCTAAAATATTTACATTTTTCTTTCAAAAAACCAAAAGTGGGAAACAATTCCCAGACAAGTCCCTTGGGTACGGTCACACCATATATGACCACTGGGCCTTTTCGATAATAAATTCTTTTTTTCTCGAAAAACTTTTTTGTTTGAAAAGGAACAAAAATGTTTCATTTTGGTCCTTTTTAAAATTCCCAATGGAAAATTGAAAAATGTTGCCAATAGAGCACAAAAAAAAAGAGAATCACTTACCAACAAAAAAGTGAAGGAGTTGCATTTTCCTGCGTTTTTTTTGGTGACCCTGAGAATAGAAATTTGGGAAGTTGGACATCCGGACAAACAGATGCACGGGGAATTATTATAGGAGGAAAATTCAAAAATTCAAAATTTCAGAAAGTCAGAAATTCAGAAATTCAGAAATTCAGAAATTCAGAAATTCAGAAATTCAGAAATTCAGAAATTCAGAAATTCAGAAATTCAGAAATTCAGAAATTCAGAAATTCAGAAATTCAGAAATTCAGAAATTCAGAAATTCAGAAATTCAGAAATTCAGAAATTCAGAAATTCAGAAATTCAGAAATTCAGAAATTCAGAAATTCAGAAATTCAGAAATTCAGAAATTCAGAAATTCAGAAATTTAGAAATTTAGAAATTCAGAAATTTAAAAATTCAGAAATTCCGAAATTTAGAAATTCACAAATTCAGAAAATTTGGAAATTTAGAAATTCAGAAATTCAGAAATTCACGAATTTAGAAATTCAGAAATTTACAAATTTACAAATTCAGAAATTCAGATTTTCGGAATTTCAGAAATCCAGAAATTAAGAAATTAAGAAATTCAGAAATTCGGAAATTCAGAAATTTAGAAATTCAGAATTTCGGAATTTCAGACCAGAAAATTTCAAAAATCCATGTTTTTGACCAAATAGAATGACTAAAGGGCCCCGAGGAAGGATTCCATGTGGAATTAACTGGAATTAAAAACCAGAAGACGTTGAGAATTCAGAAGACGTGGGGTCTTCTAGTAGTTTCCCTCTTTTTCATGACACCCTTGAGAGATTTTAGAATGGAATGGAAAACAATGAAACGAAAATAGTACGATTTTGGAAAATTTCTGAGATTTTCAGATGACGTCAGAATTCAGAATTTTTGAGTTTCAGATTTCTGTTTTTTTATCTTCTGAATTTCCGAATTTCTGAATTTCTGAATTCCAGAAATTCAAGATTTACGTACTTCAGAACTTTTGAATTTCAAAAATTCAGAAACTCAGAAATTCAGAAATGCGGAATTTCCAACTTTTGGAATTCGTCGATATT